TAATGCAATCAAGGCCGTAAAGCCCTCCACGAGTCTTATTTCAATAATCTAAATCATTTATTTATAAAAATAAATAAATAAATTATATTGATATGAAGAGTCAGGGCACTTTTCATTGTTTCCCAAAAGGACTAGGTTTGATTTTGTTTTTTCGCTGTTATGTTGCAGACCGGACTATGCTATTTTCGTGTGTTTCGACATAAGGCAGTATATCCACGGAGTCGAAATTGACAGTACGATGGATAGTTTAACTCCATGTGGCCTACGTGCAGCAATAGTGAAGCTATTTTTGAACAACCCGATTAGAGGATTATGTGCTAGACTGGATTGATGTCACTGTCCCCCACATTTTAACTGTTACATTTATTAAGCTTTGCAAAAATTGTTTTTTTTTTTTTTTGACTTACTATTTGATGGTTGGACAGTCGGAACTTATATGATGTTGTGTAAAGTTTTTTTGCTCATAATTTTTTTTTTAATTTGAAAATTGATGTTTTAAAGTTTTGAAATAAATGTCAAATCATCACGTTCTTTTATAAATAATCATAAATAATGAGCCATCATTGTTTGAAGGGCAATTCGAACTATTAAAAATTTAATGGGATTTGAAGTTCTAAAAAATTTTAATTATAACTTAATGGAGTATAAATTCATAAATTAGAATTTATGTGTAAATGCCCCTTTATTTTATTGCTTCTTGATGGGTATAAATTTGGAAGCTTAGAAATGAGTACTTTTTTAATGGTGCTCATCCGATCTATGTGATTTTATTAAAGTAACGATTGCCTTGTGGATGAAGAATCAGTTAATTGGGAATTCGTTTTCAGTGAATGATTTTGTTTCAAATATCCATCATATTAGAAGATGTCTTGGGTCTAAATTGTGATTTGTCCTATCAAGTTTGAAGGGACATGATGCCTGTTTGTTTGCTGCTCAATTACTGCTGGGGTATTAATAAGTCGTGCTACTACTGTTGCTTGTTTAAAGCATGGGTTATATACTACTTGTCATATGGATGCCATACATTTCTGTTGCAGTAGTTATTTGCTACAAAAAGGAGATTATTTTGCTTTGTTTTCATGCTGGGAGGGTCATCTTATGCTGGCGCAGCCGATGACTGACCTATCTAGATTGAAAATTTTGAAGGTGGGTGGTGTTCGGGTGCAACCTTTCACTGTTGCTATGAGCAATTGCAGCACTTTGGATTGATGAATGCAGGGGTATTGTTCCTGATTAGATCAGCTTCTTGTGGGTTGGCTTTTGTTGGTGATATAAGTCTCAAGCATAAGGCTGCTTTACTTGGCTATTATAATTTTGATTGCTATATGATGTTGTATTGGGTGATTTGCTGGTGCGTACAATGGCTGCTCTACTTGAATTGAAGCAAATCTGGAACTAACTCACTAAGTGGCTGCTCAGGTGGTTTTTGGTGTGGCTCAAAAGGCTTGCTGCTGTTGTTATAAGTTGTATTATGGTTTGTTGTTTATTGTTATTTGGTTTATGGTTAACTCCCATATTAAAATTACTACGTCTATGATTTGCTACAATTCAACATTTTCCTCTATATGCATTAATATTTTTTCACCTTGTGTCAGGAATTCAACTAAGAAATTAGTAATAATAACAACAATTATGAAAAACAATTTTAATAGAATTGTGTTACTTATTTCTTTAATTATGATTTTTCTTTTAATATTAATAATGGACACCAACAATGGGCAGGAGATGGTGCCCCATGCGCACGCCATCTCACTAGTATGTAAGTAAAAATGACAGAAAATATGTGGGCCAAGAAGATGAGCTTGATTTATCTAGTAGCACTATTCTCTTTAGTTTTGAGTTTTTCAAAATTAATTTTTTGAATTTTTAATTCATATTTTTAATATTTTTAAAATATTTGCATCAATTTTTAAATTTTTAAATCCACTTAATCTTAATATACTTAAGAAATAAAATATATATATATATATTTTAAAAATTAATTAAATATAACAAAATATGAAAAATTATAATATTTTTATATATTTTATTTTTGGTAAATTTTTTCTCAAATATTATACTTTTTAAGCATAATTAGATGAGATGTATCTAAATAATTTTTTTGAAAAAAATTATGTAAAATATTAAAAAAATCACTAAAAATAAAATATAAAAAATAAAAAAATCAAATTTTTTTAAAAAAATTAGACTATTTTCTGGAACCACTTACACGGTCAATAAAAAAATCAAATTTTTTAAAAAAAAATTAGACTATTTTCTGGAACCACTTACACGGTCAACCACGTACGTATCTTACCCTTGGGATTACATCGTCTAACAAGTTATTGGTTGTTCTAAAATAGTGTCATGTGGCGCTTGATATATATTGTAATTGATGGAAGGAGTGAGATTTATAATTGATGTTTGAATGATTAAAAAATATGAAGAGACATAAAAATTTATTATTGACGTAAGACATAGGGACAATTTGTAAACTTGGTAAAAAAATTTGACTTTTTAATTTTTTTACGCACACACGCGGGCGCGCACACACACAAACCAGTTTTTTTAGCCAAAAAAGTTACCAAAAAGTCAAAAAATTAATGTTTTATCAACTTCTCAAAATACCACATAATCATATGGTGTCTTAAGATCAACTAATAATTTTTCTCACCGTCCACCTTGCTCATACGACATGTGGTGTCCATCTATTTGTGGGCCCTTGTGCCACATGGCATAGCTTCATTAATCTGTTCTTTTTTGGAGTGCAAGAGTAAAAAGGCACTCCAATATAAATTTTAGGTGAATCTGCAAATCAGTTGGAAGACTAAAATAAAAATAATAATAATAATAATAAATTTATGCAGAAATTTATCATTTTGATTATTAAAATTGATCAATTTTATCGCTAATTTAAAATTTATTTTAAAAACATTCGCAATTCTATGGGATAGGCTTTCCCATTCTTAAAAATTTCAACTTCAACCTTAATTGGTTATCATAAAAAATTCAGCCTATCAAACTATCTGAAAATTGTGAAACAACTATATTACATTCAAAATAAATAAAAAACGTGACAAACTAGACTTATGAAAGTCAAAGAAGAACTCATTTCTCTTCTTTCCAAACTAAAGCAACTTTTTATGCTGTTCACAAACTAACATTTTAGGGCCAATTGTATCATTTTATTTGGTTCCAATTTTTAAATTTAATTTTTTTTAAGGTAAATTACACTAACGGTCCCTATAGTTTGGAACTTGTGTCACTTTAGTCCCAAACTTTTCAATTGTAACATATTTGATCCTTAATTTTGAATCTTGTTTCAAATAAGGACAATTAAAAATACATTGCTCAACTTCAAGGGCAAAGTGGTCATTTTGATAAAATATAAGCTAGTTTAACAAAAATAAATATCAAAAATTATTTTTTAATTTTTAAAAATTATTTATACCCGTCAAAAATAAAATTATGTCAAATTGATACATATTTTACATATTTATTTATTTATTTTTAACAAATTAATTTTTAATATATGTTTGGATGGTGATTATGTAATAAGTGGTTGTTTTTATTTTTATTAAATTAGTTTCTATTTCCCAAAATGGGCCTATGGGCGACAATTTTGAGATCATTGTTAAACCAATCCATTAAATAAAAAAATCCAAAACTATAAATATTTCATATGTTTAATACATCGATTACACATTAAAGTCTAATAACCATCCTATAATCATCCAAAAATATTTGTTAACAACAAATACAACCATCTATTACATGATAATCATCAAAAAGCATTAAAAAAATAAAATAAAATAACAACAACAACAACAACAACAACAACCATTACATGATCATCATCTAAATACATAATAAAAGTTAATTTGGTAAAAATAAATAAATAAATATGTAAAAGATTTATCAATTTTACATAATTATATTTGGTGGGTAGAAATATTTTTTAAAAATTCAAAAATATTTTTTTGACATTTATTTTTGTCAAATTAGTTTATATTTTATCAAATTGATGATTTGTCCTTGAAATTGAGAAATAATATCTTCAATTGTCCTTATTTAAAATAAGATTTAAAATTCAGGGTCAAATGTGTCACAATTGAAAAGTTAAGACTAAAGTGATACAAGCCCCAAACTATAGGGACTGTTAGTGCTGTTCGCGCCTTTTTTTTCTTTTTTTTTAAATTGACTTTTTTTATTTTTTGTTTTTCATATTTTTTTTATTCTTACAGAATTTGTTTAGTAATTTAAATAATTTTTTTACTTTTTATATTGACTTAACTTAGATATACCTAAAAAATAAAATATTTTTAAAAATTAATAAATACACAAGAATACAAAAATATATTGAATTTTTATTTTATTTTATTTTTGTATTTTTGGTATTTAGTAAATTTTTTAAAGATTTTTTTTATAAATGTTATACCTTTTAAGTGTGTTTATGTTAGGTGCATTTAAAAATTAAAAAAATTAGTTAAAATATTAAGAAAAAATTAGTACAAGCAAAAACATACGGAAAACAAAAAATTTAATTTTCTAAAAAGTAAAATCTAAATTCTAAAACCAGGTACTCTCTTTAACAAAAACAAAAACAAAATGTATGGGAATATTTAATTATTTTTATTTGAACAATGAAAAAAAAAATGTAAATAAGATTCGAAATATGCATGTTCTTCACTTCTCTTTTACTATTTGTCTAGAATTTTAATTGAAAAAGCATGGCTTGTTTATTTCTCAATATTACCAAAGTTCATGTTAAACACGGAACTTTGAATCATACCCAATAAAAGTAAGTATGAAAACTAAAATTGAACATTTTTTTTATTCAGGAAAAAATAGATATATTTTATTAATGATAATAAAACATTACAAAAAGAAGAAAAAGACATAATAAAAAAAAACACCGTCAACAACTAAACTGAGATGCTATGCTCTATTGGAGAGTAGTACAACTTTATTATTTATATTATATTCTCAACATCATGTAATAGTAAGAAATTACACAAAATTTATAGGGAGCTGAGAAGTGGAAATTTAGGATTGGAAACAAATGAGAGGAACTCTTTATCAGTTTCAAGTTTCACCAGATCACCCTTATTCATACAAATCAATGCTTCTATGCCATCACCTGATTTAGTAGGAAAGAAAGCAACCACATTATCAAGATTTACTACACCCATAGTCACCCATACAGGCCTTCCCCATCCAAAATCAGTTTCATATAGCGGGAACCTAGCTATGCTCGAAAACATAAAAGTAAACACTGCCTCTCCACCACCTCCTCCTCCTCCTTTATTACCACCCTCCTCTTTCTTGGAATTCAAGCCCCCCATACCACCACCACCACCCTCTTGGAGTTTCCTTACATAATCGCTATTAACTTTTCTTATCCCATCTCTCATTTGAGTGACCAAGCTACGATGATCCTCTCCTATAGCGCCTTTTTCCAATGCCGGTGGTGCTAATATTGCTATGGAAAATCGACTAAGGTTACCATAATATGAATTAGGTAAAGGTGGATTGAGTCTCGTGCGCAAGTTTACCCCTTGAACCACTGGGTATCTAATTCCTTCTCCACATACTGCCTCTCCTCGAGTGGCGGCCTTATATCTACACCATATAAAAGTAGAAAGTGCCTCAACACGAGTTGGATTATTATGTATGGTTTTGTTGTTGGCAGTGACAGTAGTGGTGGTGGTGGTGGTGGTGGTGATGGGGGTATATTTGGCTGCATGTTTGTGTTTGTCTATCTTCTAATTTCTTGGAGCATCTCCAATCCTTGCTCTTTCTTTCCATAAAATTTTAGTGAAATTTTGATTTAAAGCTTGTTCTGATGTAGAACACTCAAATCCTTATGCTATTTTTTTTCATCAAACCAATTTGAAAATTTCCGAACTTGTCCTAAAAACCTGTTTTAACTATGCTTGATATCAAATTTGAGTAATTTATTGTTGGGAATTTGGTGAAGAATTTGGTTCATTCTTGATTTGGTGAAAAAATTGCCTCTCCCTTGATTTGATACAGATTGATGAAATAACTGGAGCACACTTTTAGCCATTTTTCATCAAATTTGAATTTGTTGGAAAAAATTGATGAAGGATTGGAGTCTGGAGATGCTCTTACAGACTTTGTATTGGATTACACAGGCTTAGTTTT